TGCAATAATTAACATAGATATTATAAGAAATCGAGAGATAATTATAAGTTGTGCGATCTTTGTTGAATTCCTATAGATAAATGTGTTCATATGCGTGTGATTTTATATAGAGAAATAATAAATTTGGGTATATGAATATGATTAGTGTTGTTTGAGAGGGATCGCTAAATAAAATAGGTTAATTCGATCGTTGGCATGCATGAAAAATGACTAAATAAATTGGAATTAAATGTATGATAAATAACCTAAGTGAAATATGAATCCCAACTATCTGATTACATAATCTTATCTACAGTTTTAATTCGAATTTGTGATTTTATTTAATAGCTTGTTATTTTATTTATTAGAATTTCATTTAGAGAACAAAATTTGATTTGATCATTAGTTACCAGTTTAATTTAAATTGAAGATAGATTAGTTTAAAATGTTATAGTAAATAGTAGTCTCTGTGGGACGATATTCGAACTTGATAAATCCACTTTATTACTTGTCACGATCTATACACTTACGAAATTTAATGAACAACAATCATCCATGGCTACCGTGACATTATTGGCTTCCCGGTTTCTCTGTCGAGACGGCTTATAAAGAAACATGTCTCGTTATTTTTCCTCGAATAGTACTTGGCGATCAGGGGCGGACCCAGCACCTGGGCAACCTTCTCGAGCACCCGTGTTGGGTCCGCCGGATGCTTTAGGCCGTCCGCCGGGAGCCGGGAAAAAGATGAAGAAGAAGGCACTGGAGTGGACGGGAGCTGGAACTGGTGTGGAAGCAGGAAATTTCAAATTTTTTAAGGCCTTATTTTAAAAAAAAAGGCCCAATTGATTAGCCCAATCCATGGCCACGGATTTTGCTTGAATTCTATTAGCCAATGGCCCAAATCCAGCAGCTACAACAAAACCAATTAACCAAATCCAATTTCCAAATATCCCATTCTGGGTGAGGAGAGGAGGACGACAAAATTAACTGTGAGTTTTTGGGCGACGAGGGCAAAATTATTTTGAGGAGGATAGTGGAGGCTGGTCACTGGAGCTATGAGTTTTTGGGCCAGTGCCAGACTTGGCATGGGAGCCACAATCTTAG